ACGGCTGAAAGGGCGAGCATGTTTGGTGGGACAGGGATTCGAACCCGCGACCCTCAGATTACAAATCGAGCGCCATAACCATCAGGCCATGCCAAAGGTCTGGGACCTCTCTTTTTACAGTAGATTAACGGTGAAATTTTCTATAGTGTACTGCACAGAAAGAATAACTCTTGAGCATGCGCAGTTGGCTTCAGTTGAAACCATTTTTATAGCTGGGTTTACAAAGTGTTTTGTTGGTCTTAGAAAGAAACATTAAATTAATTTTGAAACAGATTTTCTGTCAATGAGCCTCTTCAGATGCCTCAGTATTTTTATCTATTTTCATATTCAGAAGTAATTACAATAAAGTTGTCAGTTTATATTTAAAATAACGGAATTGAATTTTAACACGTAAAACAAAGCAACTGATTCTGTTTTTCGTCACGTGCTCTAATGGTAAAACAATGGTTCTGTTACCTGAATCTTGAAACTAATAAATATAAGTGGAAACATAATTTATCATTAACATTACTTGATACTCTATATTTATCATTAACATCACTTGATACTCTATATTTATCATTAACATCACTTGATATATTACATTTATCATTAACATCACTTGATACTCTATATTTATCATTAACATCACTTGATATATTACATTTATCATTAACATCACTTGATACTCTATATTTATCATTAACATCATTTGATACTCTACATTTATCATTAACATCATTTGATACTCTATATTTATCATTAACATCATTTGATACTCTACATTTATCATTAACATCACTTGATACTCTATATTTATCATTAACATCACTTGATACTCTACATTTATCATTAACATCACTTGATACTCTACATTTATCATTAGCATCACTTGATACTCTACATTTATCATTAACATCACTTGATATATTACATTTATCATTAACATCACTTGATACTCTATATTTATCATTAACATCATTTGATACTTCATATTTATCATTAACATAATTTGATACTCTACATTTATCATTAACATCACTTGATACTCTACATTTATCATTAACATCACTTGATACTCTACATTTATCATTAACATCACTTGATACTCTACATTTATCATTAACATCACTTGATACTCTATATTTATCATTAACATCACTTGACACTCAACATTTATCATTAACATCATTTGATACTCTACATTTATCATTAACATCACTTGATACTCTATATTTATCATTAACATCATTTGATACTCTACATTTATCATTAACATCACTTGATACTCTACATTTATCATTAACATCACTTGATACTCTATATTTATCATTAACATCACTTGACACTCAACATTTATCATTAACATCACTTGATACTCTACATTTATCATTAACATCACTTGATATTTTACATTTATCATTAACATCACTTGATACTCAACATTTATCATTAACATCACTTGATATATTACATTTATCATTAACATCACTTGATACTCTACATTTATCATTAACATCACTTGATATTTTACATTTATCGTTAACATCACTTGATACTCTATATTTATCATTAACATCACTTGATACTCTACATTTATCATTAACATCATTTGATACTGTACATTTACCATTAACATCACTTGATATTTTACAATTACCAATCAACGTCACTTGATACTCTGCATTTATCATTAACATCACTAGATATCTATATTGACTCCCTTTTATTGTTTTATAAAATAATAACATATTCAATGACGTTACATTACTGAAATAACGAATGGCAACTGATATTCAATTTTCTATTACTTTAAGGAGTAGTGAACTAAGTGTTTATTCTAGTATCACCTCACGTCTAATAAAAGAAAGATAATCAAGATTATTCTGAAATAGTTGAGTTGGTTATTCGTTTAGAAAAAAAATTATTTAATTTTTCTTAACTTACCTTTAAAAACACTTATTGAAACTAATGTCCATTTGAACCAGCTGATCTATTGAAAATGAAAATAAAACGAACACCAAAACAAAATAATCATTGTGATTGGTCAACTCTATCAACTATAACCATTCTGATTGGTCAATTCTTTCAACTATTCAACTAAAGTATCCTCGATTAGCCATATTTACTTTTTTATTGTGCCATTTGCACGACAGTATACGAATGTAGGTTCTTCTAAAAGTTGCGTTACAGAGGGCGTAGCATAGGGGGTTTATCGTGCTGTTAATATAACATAAGTAATAAGCAAAGTTCCACAAGCCTTCTGGAATACAGCCATCGTCGACACACGGCAACAGAGTTTTTACTAAAACTAGCACATTGTATGGTGTCCATGTTACAATGAAAGCCAGTAAAATGGCGCTTAGTGTTTTGGCAGCTTTTTTCTCTTGTTTTCGCTCTTGTTGTTTGCGTTTTTTTTGGGTGCTCTGTGTTTCACCACTTCCTTGTGAACAAGCTTTGTGTTGAGCGGTAATCGGATTGTCTCTAGGGTTGGTTCCGAGGAACGGAAAGTGTCTAGCCTCAGTCCCAGGTTGCTTGGGCGCCGAGTTGTTAAGCCTCCTAAGCATTGCGACATACGAGTTGGTTGCATCCCAAATTCCATTTCTTTTTCTTCTTCTTCTTCTATTATCATCTTGATGGACGCTTGAGACTCGCCTTCTTCTTTAGGTGGTTGAGTGGGGAGGCGAATGAGAATGGTATAAATGGCATCTGATGAGATGGAACGAGAAGATGAAGGATGAGCGGATGAATCATTCTTCCGAGAACCATTTCGACCAGTAAGAGCTATGCCTACTTCTTGCTGATGTTGGCGGGACCTGAGCTCGGAACGAAACGTCATTGATGTTGTACCTGATGACTGTATCGGAGTTTCAGCAGAAGTCGGCGTAATAGCTCCGGGCGACTCGTGGCTAGTACTGTCGTCATCTTGGTCAGCTGGGTCGTGGTCGATTTTACACCAAGTCCTCAAGACTTCTTTAACCTTCTGAGGACGATATTTGTCCTGAGGCAAATGTTGCTCTGGTGGCTCGACACATAAAGATGTCGGCACATAGGCAGTTTGACGGCCTCTACCAGCTATGCACGAGTCGCTACGTGACCTTCGACCTTCATTGCCTTCCCCTGGGTCGTCACTGGAAGATGACTTCTTGCTGTCATCCTTCTTTCCGGCTTGAAGATGAGTTAAATCTTTCTTGCGCTTTTCTGTTTCTCGCCAGATTCGCCAGTAAAGGACACACATCACAGTTACAGGAAGATAAAAAGCAGCGATAGCTGTACCGATGGTGATGTAAAGATTGGTTTCAAGGAACTGGATGAAACACTTGTCCTCGGCCACTTTCCTCTGTCCTTCTATATATGGCCATGAATAGATCCATGGTGGCCACAGCACAATGGATATTACCCAAGCACAAGCAATCATAAAAGCTGCTCGTTTTGTTGTCCTTTTAGCTCGATAGGTCAGAGGTCGTGTAACAGAAAAGTAACGGTCAAAACTTATGATAAGCAAATTGAGAACAGAAGCGTTGCTGTTCAGGTAGTCGAGGGCTAACCAGGTATCACAAATTATTGGTCCCAGCGGCCATACACCAAACAGAGTATACATAGTGAATAAAGGCATGGATACGAGACCAATCCAAAGGTCTGCGACTGCCAGGCTGAGTAAAAAATAATTACTGATTGTTTGAAGCTGCTTATCCAGTTTGAAAGAGATCATAACCATCACGTTCCCCACCACAGTCCCCAGGCTTAGTAGCCCAGCTACAATAGCGACAACGATGATTTCCGACACAGAATAAGGTGATTCGTCCCTAGGACCAAGCACCCCTAGACTAAACTTAGTAGTGTTGAAAATCCAGGATGTGTTATATTCGGGGTATATATCCACAAGAGGTGAACTGTTATAAGACTCAATGTGGACAACGCCAGGTGAGCCCCAGGAACGCACATTCCTGGAGAGGTGACGAAGACTAGAAATTCGATTTCCTAAAGTTGACAACAAGCTGTAGTTTAACAACAGGACTACAGGACTTTTTGTCACCACCATTTTGTCATGTTCGTCTCTTCTGAAACAAATATACAAAAATAATTCTGTGAAAAACAAACATTTGGATGAACAGTCTTTTCTGTCCATATATTAGTTATATAATGATCAACAAAGTTTAAGTAATTCAAGAAAAACTTAATTTATATCAGTCGGGTTTTATTAAAGAATCTTATATCTGTATTCCATGTTAACAATGATTTAAACATTATTAGTTTGTTTCTATTACAGGGTGTTATTATAGCTGTATTTCATGTTAATGATTTAAACATCATTAGTTGAGTTCTATTACAGGGTGTCATTATAGTTGTATTTCATGTTAAAAGTGATTTAAACATCATTAGTTGGGTTCTATTACAGGATGTTATATCTGTATTTCATGTTAACAGTGATTTAAGCATCATTAGTTGAGTTCTATTACAGGGTATCATTATAGTTGTATTTCATGTTAAAAGTGATTTAAACATTATTAGTTGGGTTCTATTACAGGATGTTATATCTGTATTTCATGTTAACAGTGATTTAAACATTATTAGTTGGGTTCTATTACAGGATGGTATAGTTGTATTTCATGTTAAAAGTGATTTAAACATTATTAGCTGGGTTCTATTACAGGATGTTATAGTTGTATTTCATGTTAAAAGTGATTTAAACATCATTAGTTGAGTTCTATTACAGGGTGTCATTATAGCTGTATTTCATGTTAACAGTGATTTAAACATCATTAGTTGAGTTCTATTACAGGATGTTATAGTTGTATTTCATGTTAACAATGATTTAAGCGTTATTTGTTGGGTTTCATTACAGATGTTATATCTATGAATATTGTTGTATTTACAAAGAAATGTTCTTATGTTTTTTTGCTATTATTAATAACAATAAAGCAAGTACCTTAAAATAAATAAAAATATACACCCTGGCTGTCCCGTAAGTTAAATACTTTTATAAATTGCGAGTCTTAACCGAATTAAAGAAAAGTTTGTAACGTAGGGAACAGATCACGTGTATATCTTACATTTAAATGTTTTTGTCGTGAATAATAGACATGATGCTGTGGTGTTATTATCATGCTAATTGAGATATCTAACTGTTGTATATTCATTTAGAAATATTATATTTTTGTTTTAACTGTGAAACTTGGCTGAAATAGCTCTTGTGTTTGTTCGCTAGAAATAAAATGTTTTAACGTTTTAGTAAATATGACGAAAAACAAAACGTATCCGTGTTTCATGTCACAACTCAGCTACTACTAAATTGTATTAATAATAACTTCACATTAAAACTATACTCATACGTTACATCAGAACTAGTAAATAACTGACTAGAACTTCTTAAAATAACACCTATAATGAGTAAGATACATTGAATCAACATTTAGGTATAGACTTTGAAAACATGATGATCGTGAAATAACCTTTTCAGCACTTATACTAGTATAAATGTATCAAGTTATTGGAATAAAATAGTAAATATATACATATAAATAATTCCTGTTAACTTATGAGGAAGAGTTTAGAAAAAGAACCTGAAATTTTTTTACATCAAGTTTTTGTGTGATTATTTAGTGTATTTTTTTTTCTGAAGTAATAATGGGATACCACACTGCATGGTAGAGAAAAGGCGGAAAATCAATTACACATAAAAAAAAAGAAGAATAGATTAATTTCTCTGTGATGCCTTGTCTAGTTGATTTCTCAGCTTCTAGCAGGTTAGATATGTTTTCATGATCGGTTGTATAAAGTTTAGGAACAATGGCTGTTATTGGAAAATCCAACAATAAGGTTGCAAACTCTACGAATGCATCTGTTTTCGAGATTATAGAGATATCTTTGATCACGTGACGGGCGTCTGTCCCGAGCTTTTTGTTTAACTTGTTATGTTTGGTGCTTCAGATGACATCTGGCTTGTAGCCGTTGTTAAACTTGTTTTGTTTGGTGCTTCAAATGACACCTGGCTTGTAGCCGTTGTTAAACTTGTTTTGTTTGGTGCTTCAAATGACACCTGGCTTGTAGCCGTTGTTAAACTTGTTTTGTCAGGT